AAAAAAAAAAACTGCAATGCGGCAGCCCTGACTGGACAGGTTTGTTTGCGCAAGGGTACACCTTCAATTACAGGGCAGGACAGCGCAGAGGACAGCCGGACACGTCCCGCTGATGGAGCGGCGGCGGCCTGAGGGTGCCAGACGGCCCGACATTTCATTAAAGCCGGCTTTGTACATTATTATTTCTCCAAGAGCATGACAGCACCTAGGTATGATCTTCCTGATCCTGCTCTGCTGTGCTCAGGTCAGCAAATCCAGAGAGGCACCTCCGTACTTTACAGAGAGGCATCGTTAAAGGATGCAGCACAAACTCGGGACAGAAGCGGCTCAGAGATGCCGTCTGAGCACCAGCAGGGTGTGCGGAGAGCTTCAAAGCACAATGACGGGGCTTTTGCTTCATGGCCTCTGGACATGCTTTGTATATAGGGGAAGGGGGGGGTCTCACATACAGCACGGGCTGGGGGAGCTTCAAAAACAAGATATACTGAATCAGTTTTTAAAAGTGTGTGTTAAAACACACAGCTATTCTCTGTTGGATCAGAGATATGAGGTTTTCCTTGTGTGACTCTGCATTGAGACACTTTGCAAGAACTGGAAAAAAAAAACTGCAGTAACCAGAAGATAAAGATCGACCTGAACAATGCAATATCCGGACGGCTCAGACGAACATTAGGAGCGAGCCGCGGGTGTCCAAAAGTCAACAGAGCAGCTTGTCCTGGATCAGCGCTAAATCAAAAATCGTATTAATGGCAAAACTGTGGCTGGCAACCACACTAGTGGTTAGTAAGGTGTCACACAAACAGTTAAGGCAGAGATGCCGTGTCCCTTTAGTCCCAAAGCCTCAAAAATATACTAAACATTTGGGAATGATTTACAATTAAGTTGTAATGAACTCTTTATAAAACAAAGTCCATTGCAAGCAAAGAGCAGCTTATGTAACAGGCCGATTCAATGGCTCTGCCAAATACGACACAAAAAATATGGAGATATACGCTGACGAGCTTCACATGAAACTGAACAACCAGTTGGCTGGAACATAAGAACTGCTCACCCTGTCCTCTGGACCCGCCTCTTCTCGGCCATCTACGCTGTCCCGCTCATCGGGGGTGTCTTGGAGGACAGGTGTGTGCCGCTTGAGGGCCGGCTCGCAGTTGAGGGTGGTGTAGCCCACGTGCTCATAGATGGGGTTGATAGTCATCTTGGCGATGTACTCCGCTGCCTTGGTCTCCACATAGAGCGTGATCAGGCCGTCCGTCACCAGGTCGTGGATGGACTCGAAGCGCTTTTCCCCCACAAAGTGCTTGCCGTCATGGTAGAGGCGGAAGTTCTTGGTCTGGTTCCCGAATCTGCGTTTTCGAGGGGGACAGGGATGGCGAAATGGGATGAGGAAGAGCCAAACGCCCAGAGCATATGGAGGAGAATATGGTTTATACATCTCTGTTTTGCCTGCAGACAAGTCTCCCTTAAAGGGATGACTGGTTCTGTCATCACACTGCTGGTGGTTCCGACCAAAAAGCTACAGAAAATAACATGGAGAAAAAAAAAAAGAAAAAAAAACATCGTGACCCTGGCAAAGACTCAAAGCCGCATCCAGTTTTCCAGTTAGCATGTAATGAAGCCCCTCTTGGTGGCGAACACCGAGGTGCGCGGACACGGCCTTGACTTCTGTGCTTCCATTTCAGGCAGGAAAAGGGTTTGCAGTATTGCAGCCGGGGCAGAAATGGAGCCAATGAAAACTCTGCTGCTGCCAAAGGCACCGCTGCATGCCAAAGCAGGAGAACAGCGGGCAGCCATCTTCACTGCAGAGCCCAAGCCCGGTTTCTCCTCCACATGGTGGGGGGTGCCCACATTCTGGACTTTTTGGGGTCAGGACCTGAGAGCGATCTCCTAATGGCCAACTAACAATGGCGGACTCTGGACACGTTCATACTAAGTCCATCAAGCTGGCCCTAAGGCTCTTGGACGGCACCAGACTCCAAAGGCCACTAAGTTCATTAACGTAAGATGATACCTCCCCTTTGTTCCCCAGTAATTCCACATCCACTCCAGCACAAGTTCCTCCACTTACTTGGCGGAGACTGCTAATGGAAAGTAATTACGAGGGCATTAAATTGCAAAAACATGTAGGCAGGAACTGACTTCATGAATATTCATGATAGGGGAGGGGTTATACTTTGTCATGCAGCCAATCTCAAAAGCTAGGCTTGTTTACAAACAGATAACCACAGATAAAGGCGACGACCCGGCCAGGCTGCCGAGTCACAGCCGTATCCACGTTTGACCTACGACCCCCGCTCAACGTTTTATTTAACGTTAACCAATCAGGAGGCTTACAAAAGCTCACCAGTTGCCCCCATGAAGAAGAATGTTTAATTATGCGACCAGTCTGGCACTGCAGGCCCTGACAGCCCCTCTTATGAATATTTCTGCCCTTATTTGTGTTTTCATTATAGCAGTGACATCACAGGTGGAGATATGATCCCTTAATCCTCATTTTAAAAGCCTGTCAAAAGACAGACGGTTACAAAGCACTGGAGATGCCAGGTGACAGGAAGAGCGACACTCGGCCTGACGGGGATAAGGTATGGATAACACAGCTGAACTCAATTAACACATGAAATGAAAACGTTAACCCCACGGCAAGAGCAAACTTAGCAGAATACATAAGTAAATTTCAACAATTCCTGCAGAGCCAATACAGGACCTGACAGTGTAGACAGATACGTCACTCAAACTTAACGAATATTTCTATATCAAAACACACACACATTTTATATACATACACACACACACACACACACACACACACACACACACACACATTAGCTACGGCTCTTTCGGTTCGGTATGCATTTGAACCGAACGAATGCTGCAAATGCGGAACCTTTGTACGTTTGTGTGTTTCCCCTGAACAACATTTGGAAAGGGCCAGATGAAGTCGCACCACTGCGCATGCGCCCGTACGTCCTGATGTGTTCACATTAAGAACTTCCAGCTTCACAAGTACAGCAGGGGTACTTTTTAAAACGTTGCACCATAATGGATATTTATTTTGTTATGCTCTGTCTTTCTTGTGACACGGTTGTGCCACACAAATATATGACACAGTAATATGAATACAAGTACAGATCATTTTGTAAATGTGCACCTGAATGGAGATTTACTTTATTTTTATTTACTTTACAGAATATGTATTTTGATTTACTTTTAAGTCAATTTTTGTTTTTAATAAAGAAAAAAGAAGCAATTTATGTTTTGTTTCTTTTACCCCCCCGAATACTGTTCAGAATACTGGAGGAGTGTGAAAGGGGCAGAGCATCAGCAAATGAGGGGCCCTGTTTCCCCCCCCCCCAACACAGCCAGAATGCCAAAGAATGAAGGATCTCCACTTTCAAAATGAATCAACATCCACAGCATCAGTCTTAGCTTTTCTCCATATATTCAACATATAACACAAAAGTAACCTTATAGCATATAGTGTGAAACCAGCAAGACGAACCAAAGGAAATACAGGCAGTGTGACTCTGACAGGCCATGCTGCTATGTGACCACGCGGGGGGGGGAGGCGAAAGGATGGAGCGTGATAGCAAGCCAGAAGATGCTCGGGTAGGGCTGAGACGTCGGGGGTGGGGGAGGAGAAATGGAAACGGGTGGTGTGAGATGCGTCAGCGGTTAAAATAAAAGCCACCATTGAGGAGGAGAGGGAGACGCTGGTGATGGAAGCTGGCTGGGGGGGGGGCACAACGTAAATGGCAGACCACCTGCCCTCCTTCCACCTCCTCCCCCACCCACACAGGAACACTCTACCCAGGCTCCTCACTCGGCCTGCTTGTAAATGGGTAAGCTGGTGGTCTGGACTACAGGGTCCCATGGGATGAGGCCAGAGGCGGACGCAGGCAGAGCCCCCCCCCCCCCCGACCCAGCACACCTCAAGAGAGAAGCACAGTGCACATCCCCCAGCCATTTCTTACAAGCCAAATCCCATAACCCCCAGAGCGTCGGCTCCCCTTTAGTGAGAAAGGCCCAGCAGAACCAGCCCAGATCCTGCCTTGTACATTTAATGGGCAAATTAGGGTTAGGCAGCCCGTCCCTGATCCAGTTTAATTCTCCAGGAGGCCTTTTCAGCTTGTGCGTCAAGAAGCAGGGTCTCCAGACAAAAAAAGAAAAATCTATTAAACAGTGTGCATCTTCATCCAATTTTAAACTTCACCTCAGAAATTAAGTGATATTTTTAACACACTAAATACATTTCCAGTACCTTGACCTAGAAATTGCACTGGAAACAAAACTAAGTTTTAAGGCCAGGATCAGTGGTTAGAAGATGAGTGGCAGGGTAAGTTTTATGTTGTGCGAGAGCACATTAGACTCCCCCCTTCTCCCGTCTAACCAGCGGCCACTGCAGGCACGACTCAAAGACGGAGAAGTGCAATTCAAGCTGTGAAAGCTGGATTATATTTCCATAAAGTGACTCAGTGTTTGTTCCAAACCCCAATGCGTCTCTGGCCCACCGGACCCTTAAAAGGAACACTTACAGCTTTGCGAAGACCGAAAAAAATAAATAAAGCAGAATTTGCATTAACACTTTGTGACTGATTAATAACTGCAAGAAAAACCTGAAGAACCACAAAATAAAATTATGGGAACAGCTACAATGTAAGTGCATAGAACACAATGTGATTTTAAAGAGACATCACCACCTCCTACTCAAAGACTAATATGAGAGGCTGCACATCTAGTACCAGAGACAATGACTCACTTAACTATCAGATAGCAAACTTCTGTTTGCTTTGGGAACACAAATAAAATGCAGGATCACATTCAACCAACCGCTCTTCTTCATTATCTGCTTGTCTAAACAAGGGACCCAGAGCCCAGCTGGAGGTGTACAGCAGGCTGGGGTCTGGACGAGATGGTGGCCCATCCCCACACACTTCCAGAGACATGTCTGCACAACTGAATGTCACCGAAGCAGGTGGGGGGGGACAAAGTATCAGGAGAAAACTCACAAGGCATGGGCTACAAGATCATGGGACCTAATCCGGTCCATGGGGACCTACAGTCGGTCCGCATTTTTGCTCTCTCCCAGCTCCCGAGCTAAAATGTTGACTGTCTGGCAGGGAGCTCGGAGGGAGCAAAAACATGGACCGGCTGTGGGTCTCCAAGGACCGGATTGGGAAACACTGTTATACGCTAATCAAGCACAGGGTGTAATGCTAATTACAAGTGCTTACACTTTGGTATTGATTGGAAGCTCAGCCTATCCACACTTATGCTAAGCAGACCCCTTGTCAGCCGTGTGTCTGTAATGCGCTCTCTGCCACGCTTGTACTTCACTTTGCTAAATAAAATAAATGGAATTAACTTCTTAGCTAGTGTGCAGTTGGGCAAATTTCCCAGGGTGTCATTATGCATATAAGTCACAAATGCTTTGATGTCTGACTCGTCCTTGATATGATGTCACACCACCTACAACCTCAGCTACACAGCAAAAACATTCACTGATTGGACTTTCGGCACACGTTACAGAACGAGGGGCTTGAAAGGGGGACGGCTGCACTGACCTTAAGGCTAATGTGTAGGTGCCGGGCTGCCGCTGGCTCTCCCTGATGAGGTAGCTGCCCTCCGCAGCACTCAACAATTGGTCAGCTTCTTCTCGGGAGATCATGCCGTGGTACCTTACATCAAGAGGAGGAAACTATTCTTACGACAAAGGAGGAAGACTTTACTTTTAAGTAATGTTAAGTTCCATATTGCGCACACACACACACACACACACACACACAAACTTACTCTCTGCCATAGTACTTGGGACGATTTTCCACCTGAAACAAAAGAACACAGCAGATGAAAACAAATCGGAACAATTTATTAAACATCAAGACATTTCAGAAAAAAACCTAATTTAAGAGGCCAGCAGAAGACAAACCATAGGATGTACATATTAGTGGGGGCGTCAGTTTCCCATTCCGGGAATCGCCCGTCTTCAGGCCTGAAGAGTGACTTGATGTTACCAACAACAAGGATCAGTATCAGTGGCAGTTCCTGAGGTGGAACACGGGGGGCACCACGTTTGAACATGCGCTGAAACCCAAACCACAACCGAGTCTGAACGGAAACGCAAACGATGAGTAAGTGACCCAGGCAGGAACATGGGACAGATTATTCAGCTGTGGGGCCACTTCTGAGGTTCCAAAAGCTGCCACCCCCACATCAGAGCCTCCAAAGCTCATTATCAAGTCTCTGGGCTACAGAGCAGTAAATGTCTACTAAAGGAACATAGTGAAATGAAATAATGTTTTGGTTACCATTTGTACAAGTACGAGTACAGGGAGATGAGAATGCTTCTTTTTGCATACCCCATCTTGCTCTACCCTGAGATTCACTCACACACACACACACACACACACACACACACACACACTTTTAATGGCGTCTGAGCACAGGTTCAGCCATTTTTCTGCCGACCCTAAAACATTTCAGGGGTTTCGGGGCCTCGTTCAAAGGCTCAGTGGAGGGGCAACTATTCTGATGAGGCTTGAACCAGCGACCTTCCGATCACAGGCACAGATGCTTAACCTGCTGACCCACACATTGCCCCCATGTACATGATTTTTAGGACTGGGATTAGGCCCAAAACAGAGGCTCCATAGGGGTCCTTTTAAAGTCTTCTTAGAAGAATTTCACATCACCTTCATATCAGCAAGCTAAACAAACATACAGTCATTGAAGCACTACAGGTCTCATCCTTTTCCTCACTTCAACACACAGGAAGCGAATGTGAGAGCTATCAAGCCGGAAGAGGCATAGGACCCCGGAGAGCTCACACCTCCCGAAGCAGCCAGGCGTCTCTCCTCAATGCAAGCTCGGCATGAAGCCCAAGGCTCGCTGGAGTACAGGACGAGTTAATTAAGAGGGGGTGAGATATCTGCAAAGTCAACGGTAAAAAACGCAATTTGCGACGGCGAACGGTGAACACGGAGGCGGCGTTGGGGGCAGGGCTATCAGTGCTTGGTTATATTGTCAAACGTCCGTGAATTTAAATGACGCATTAAGGGCTCTCCAGCATGAGAGGAGCAAAATGCCTCACTGCACCGCGAGGACATCTCCGGCGGGCTCCCAAGAAAGGCAATCCTGGCCTCTTAGAGACTGTCCAGGGCTGTACTCTCTTCAGAAGAAAAAGGATCAGGTGAAGAGGCTCAAAAACAAGCTAATGCCGCATTCTGCATGGTCTGGCACTGGATTTAGCATCAGGCTCAAATCACTCCCATTCCATCCTCACATGGCAACGCGTGACCCGCAGCTCCAGATTAGCGCCTCGCTAGCTGGGTCAGGACCGTGACAGTGCGTGCAAGGCCCAGCTCAGCCGCCGACCTCCCTCAAAGCCAGGGACTGACGGAGCGAACCGGCCCAAAGGTGGCCGGGTTTGCGGCTGACCCCAAACGAGGACTATCAACTGTGAGCACAGAACAATAATACTGCCCCTTCGCCACTTTACCAGACATTTGGCCTATTTGAAAAAGGACAACCAATCCGCAGGCGTACTGCTGACAGCTATCTTATTCTGGGACGTTAGTGTGGAAGCAGTGGGAAGGAACAAGACAAAAAGCCAGGGAAGGTCAGATATACAGTAACCAGCAAGGACATCCATATACAACGGCCCCAAACAATCACAACCTCAGGTACTGAATAGAAAGAATTGGTATACAGAATGTGGGCTGAGCACCTGACCCCATCTAAGCCCAGGACATCCAGGCCCCTCCCCCATCCACGACCTCATTATAAACACACTGGGAAACTATGAGTACAAATATGTTGGAGGGAAACACTACAATTCTCCAGTACATCTCCACTGAACTGGAAGTGTCACATGCAGTTCAGAGGGCTCTAAGCTCCACCATCCTGGGCATGTGGTACCTGTCAGTGTACCCCAGTTAAACCCTCCCAGGAGAGAGGGCCTGCCTTGTCCGTCCATCATCACAGACAGTCGGGGAGAACTCAGGCAGGCTCTGAATCACGTATGGCGCTGTGTACTCAGAGCGTGTTCCCTAAACAACCCAGGACGGCATGGCACCCTCTGAGGAGGCACTCAGCGGAAACATCCCATGCAGGGAGCGACCCTCCGATTCAAAGCTGCCGCAGGAGCCCAAAAAGCGGAGATGGGCCTCAGCATGGAGCGATGGAGCGGCTTCAATGAGGGAGGGGGATGCCGGAGGCTTGACGTGCGTTTGAAGTGAACAGGAAGAGCCCGGCTCCCTTTGTAGCGAATCAAAAACAAGCAGAGGGCTCCCTGTCAGAAACATCAGCATGTCTGTGGCACTCTTTGTTGCTGAAGATCACTCCTTTATTTTATTTATTTATTTTTACTTTCGCCACCCCCCCACCCCCACCCCCACCTTCATACACAATGACAAACTCGACAATTAAACTGCAACTATCATTTCAGCGGAAACAAAATCCTATCATCGGTCAGTCAATCTGCCTAATTACCGCAACGTTAATTTAATTTATTGACATTATCTAATTGACTGTTTTACTGGGCTCGTTTTATTCATTAAAAGTCTTCCACTTGGAAGTGCCTCACGCTTTTAATTAGAATTTCACGCACATTCCAACCCCGCGTGTAACCCCATAAAGGAAGAGGTTAATTAACACTCCAGTGTATTGGTAGGTCACCATTTCCCCATTTTATTCACAGTACAGATTAATATCAGCAGTGCTTCGAAGCACATAGGCAGGGAGTCAAAACACAATCCACCCTTAAAATGGCTAAGACCAATATTCATGGACAATACAAAATTAATATACAATTAATAATTAACACACATACTAACAGGGGCAGCACCTCCAAGGCTGTTTGTGATGTGTTCGTCTGAAGCTTGCACATGCTTTATATTGCCCATAGTGTGTTTGTTATGTGTTTGTCTGAAGCTTGCACATGCTTTATATTGCCCATAGTGTGTTTG